AATTAGAGAGTGAAAATGAGGGGGACACACATACAGACAGAGACGACACGGAAGACAGATAGAACGGCACGGAGAGACACACGCAGATAGAGGGCGCCAATTAAATAAGCAAGGCTACGTCGACTTGTACAGCGCAAAGTCACGTTCGGATGAACCGCGGATACAGCGTCGGGGGGCGTTGGTGTATTAACCCGGGTGAACTGCTGTGATTCTTTAATGGCTACGGGCCACAGACGAAACGAGCAAAACCTAACCCGAGAGGGAGAGTACCGTATGTTGCATGACGTAAGATACCACACCCCCTAGGATGATTTTCAAAGCTCCATTACTCCACCACGAAGAGCACGCTCAAGTGCAAGGATACGTTGTCGGAAAGCTCTCGACAAGACGGTTCCAACGCCGCCAACATCGGCACCGTCATCACTGTTTTTCCTGCCGAGTAATCCAGCTTCGAAAATCGGGCCAGGGGGTGTGAAATCTTGTGCGACCTACGGTATGTCGTCCATCTCGTGGTGTCAGCGAGCAAGCAGAACGGGGTAGAGAAAAAGAGAAACAACAAGCGTTGATAAAAATTGGGGACGAAGCGCAAGACGCAAAAAAAAAAAAAACTTGCCGGAGGAAAATGGGAGGGCGAGAGAGATTCATGATGTCCTCCGCTCTCGTAAGCCGTTCCGACACGTTCACGAGCTTCGTCACCGGAAGGATTCGTCTTGGCTGCGAGTACAACAGTAAGGAGGAGAAGCGTGCGAAGGAGGGGAGTCAAAGGGCATTTTTGTCACCCCGTCACAGTCCGTTATTCCTCGACCACAAACCTCACCGCCGTCGAATCGATTGGAGAGGCATCACCATCCCCTATCTCCCACGTTCTGGTTTGACACTCTCCATATCACGTACCCGAACTGCACCCATCGGCACCAACATAACCACGCGCCCCGGATCAACACACCAGCGAAACACGAAACAAAATACAGTCGGGGTCCCTCTATTGTGCGGGTATGTGCCAAGCGCTTTCACCCGCACTATTCAATGTATTAACCGTCTTGAATATTCCACCTGTGCCAGCCAATTTCACCCGCACTATGTATCGGCGACCCCGCACCATACAACCCGCACAATAGAGGGACCCCGACCGTACTCTAAACTAAATATCACACAAGCACACCTTGACGGGTGGCGCGTCCAAGCCCGGGGCGGTCCTGACGACGACGCCATTCTCGTGGCAAACCCTGTAGGTGTACGCCCCGAATTCGTGGACGTTCGTGAAGACGTCCAGCATCAGTGCCACTCCTGGTCTGTTCGCCCTTACCCAGAGCCCGTCCGTCTCGCGCATCACGAACGCCACGTCGCCGATACCCTCGTAGTGCTTCACCACCTAGGGCCACAAGAGGGCGGGGGGGAGCGTTCGTTAAGGTATGTAAGTGTAGGTGGGAGGTGCAACAACACGTGCCACGAGCACGTCCCGCGGTATGTTTGCAAGAATCCTCGAGGATTCTCGCTATCTGATGAACAAAAAAATGTGAGGTATGTGCCATTACCGAACCAAGGTAAGCCTTCTAATGTTCAATTCTGTCTCCTCTACCCGCAAACTTTCATTCGTAGCCTGCTTTTGCATAGTCGATGCTGACGGACGAAAAATCGCGCCCGTCGCGGACTAGAGAGGGTGTTGGCCTTTCTGCCCCGGCCTTACAGAGATGGGAACGCAACAACAACAACAACAACGGCACATCTCAGCCGCTCGCTGTCGTGTGACCAAGCTCCATCATGCCCTGAACGATGCCAAACGGACATTATCGCACCTCAGCCTTCCCGTAGAAAGCAACCCCGACTTCGATGCGGTCCGCTGCGGGGGCCACAATGTCCGGGGTCTTAGTCGCCTCCACCCCTACCTCCTCCCTCACGCGGTACAACCTCCGCACTGACGCCGCCGCCGCCGCTGCCTCGGCTGCTTTTTTCTTGTCCACCTGGAATGAAAAGAAAAAAAAAAGAAGCGCCGACGACGTTCATTCTGATGCACAGCACGTTGAACCGCCTGCAGCGGTCGGTCTCCCGTTTTTTCTTGTCGAACTAGACAGAACAAAAGAAAAAAGAGACCGACGTTCACACCACTGCTGCAGCAGCCGCGATCGTAAACGGCAGCATCTGCTTTTCCACGCACGACACACACTGCAGCAACCAACACAGCAGGCACATTTTGCCGTTTTTATGTATATAAAAAAAAGCGCGCGCAAAACTTCCCGGTCAGAAACTGGATTTCAAAATCAAAATCTCTACTTTCAAAACTCAATTTCAGACATTGCGTTCTTAGAAATTTTAAAACCAATAGTATTATTAAGTATTCTATGCTAGATGGAATATTTAAATAAATATGTTCACCATCGTTTACGACTGGTAAAAGAGTCATACCACATCCAATAGCTGCAGAAACAATTGAAACGGGGATCCTAGAAGAATCAAATATTTTAATAGGCCTTGGGGTGTTTACAACGGGGGTATGCTTTTCCCCTGGACTTGTCATGTTGAAACCATTGATGATAAGTTTATTACTGTATTCAAGAGTATTACAAGCATGATTGTTTCCAGATCAGCTATATATTTTCGCAAAACCGAGAATAGATTAAAACCCTCTGGTACATCTGCCATATCTGTAGCGTTGACAAAATAAAGGTATCCTGGGTGAATCAATCCGCTGGAGCAAGCGAGCAAGCAAGCACCTTCGAGTCCCGCGTCTTGGAGGGAGAAGAAGATCTAGACCTCCGATTGCGACCGTCGCCTTTGCTTGCTGTTGCCGCTGTGCCATCGGCTGAAGTGGCATCGGCTGCTTCTACCGTGGAGGAGGAGGTGGGGGGCTCCGCGGTATGCTCCGGGACCCCCACCGAAGATAGGACCGTGCTCTTGGGACACTCCACCTCCTCGAATGCCGCTTCCCCCGTAGCGTTCATCACCGTCTGCAGACCACCCATCGTCCAAGGGGCGGGCGGCGACACCCGTTAGGGTACGTAGGTCAGGGGTTGAGGCCACGTCGGGGGATATCCACCGGAAAGTATTAGGTCGGAACGTGGCGCACTGGCCGCGCGGATAGGTATGCGTGGGCGAACCTTGTTAGTTTCCGTCATGCGACGCCCGGCAGGGTGCGTCGTTGCTGTTGACTGGAATCGGGAAAAAAAGGGCTAACCCCGGCGAAATCGGTGAACGAAAAAAAAAACTGGGGGAAGGATCTCCGGCCTCTCGCGCGCAAGACAGCCAAAAAAAAAAAAAAAACGGCGGACATACCAAAATTAAAAACAATAACGACCAAGCCGATGGAAACGACGACCATGACGAAAAACGCAGGGGTCCCACAACAACAATTCTCGCTGGCTTATGCACAATAGGCCACCGCACCGCACACGCCACACGGACCTTCTCGCCGCGCCTCTGGATGACGAAGCCCCTGCCGTTCACCACCGTCACAAACGTCACCGGGCTGCCGGCGGGCGTCCACTTGTTGCCGGCCTCGAGCACCTGGCCCTCCGGCAGAAGCTCCTTGCGCAGCCTCGACTTGGTGTCCCCCTTCCTGTGGAGCCTGGCCCCCTCTGGGTTGCAAACCCGGAAGAAATATCTCCCGGACTGGCCGAGAATAGGAAGAGGGGGGGGGAGGGGGGGGGGGGGGGGGGGGTAAAAAATGGGGCTCCCCCAAGTTTTTCGACCCCGAAGTTGGGAAACCGAAAAAAACCCCCCCCCAAAAAAAGGGGTGGACGGCGCCCAACATAATTTTTTTCGGGCCAAAAAAGTTAAAACCCAGGCCCCCGGGGGCGGGGGTGCCCCTCCCACCCCCTCTAAAGGGGGGATCCCCCCCCCCCCCCCCCGGGCCCCTTATCCCCCCCCTTTTGGAAAAGTTTCCAAAACCCCCCCC